GTTGGTGTCCTTTTGGTTTGCCTTTAAGCCAGGGTGAAAAGGTTTCCTCAAGAAAAGCACGCACCCGAATGCCTAGCCCTCTGCCTTTACCCATTTAGAGCGGGGGGTCCACATGTTTGGACTCTTTCGCGGCGTGCCCTGATTTTCCGTAGGGGTCAAAAGTCGAATTTCGAACCGGGAACTGACACGTGCCCAGCACACTTTCCACGCGGCCAAAGCGAGCTCTTCAACAAGGAGGGTTGGAAACTCGATTGGCCACCATATCAGCAAATCACTACAAAAAGGACCAAGTCAAATCGTTACACAAGGATTGGACTAAGGATTGACCTTTAACAGCGATTAGATGCAGCCCGTTGATTGCCCTCAAAGCTTTACAGTACATTGGGGGTGGGGATGAAGACCTTTCTTTGTAGGGTATGGCCATTAGCAACGAGGACTTGATGTCTTAAACGGCGGGGGACCTGCAGGATGGGGCAGTTTCCTGTCGGTTTCCCTCTCAACCACATACCGTAGAACGCAATGTCATGTCAAAAGAGATCCAAAAAAAGAAGGCTTTGGGGTTTAAGGAGATATCGAGCCACTTCCCACTTTCAAGGGTGACCCCCGGGACCCATCGATCCAACGCGGAACCCGAGGCGCTGCTGCTGGATGAGCTGGCGCAAAGCTTGCCCTGCCAGCCTGAGACACTGAGACCCATCAACACCTCGAAGCTCGAGTTCTGCTGTGCCTCCAGTTGAACTGTTTAGCATTCCTTCTGAAAATAAAACAGTAGACTTAAGGGTAGAGATGGGTAGAGCTCAGCAGACTTAAGGACAAACAACAGCTTATCCCTCAAGAACCGCAAAGAGTACACCCTACTCCATAACCGTCGTTGCAGTCCCTTACTGGAACATGGAGATGTCCTGGAGTACCACATTTTAGGAGTGACACGCGTAGCTTTCCATCCACGGATCGGAGCTTCGCGGGAAATCCTTCGCTGGAGGTCTGGGGCTACAATTTGTCCCAATTTCAGCTCAGGATTCCTTTTAAAGGATACGTCTACACACCACCTGCTTAAAAAAGGGAAGCTTTTGCGTGAGCGATGTTTGCACTCTAGTTTGAAACCTTTTAGTAGACATCATATGGGTGTCCACCACCCGCTGTTGAGAGAACCGGTTCCCCATTAAATTTCACCGGCAAGTGTATCCTTTAAGGGACTCTGCCCCCGGCTTCTTCCGCAGGAGGCCGCTTTACCGCCGAGGTGCTGGCGCACCGACGCGTAGGGGTGCGCCTGAAGCTGGGTGCACCCCAGCAGCACCACGCTGTACAGAAGTTCCTCCGCCTCAAGCAACTCGTGGCTTCTCTGCAATGTGGACCCAGATTATGAATCAACCCCTGCTTGATTCATTTGGGAGGGTGCTTTTCCCTGGTGTTAGTGGGGATTTATTCGCTGCAAAGGTTCTGGGTTCCGGTGATGGAAAGTAAAATCAACCGTGTTAGGGGGTTGATTGGACCACCCCTTCAAACAAAAGGTGGTCTCCTTTTGGTCCCCCCTTGAAACTAAACTTAAGCGGAGCGGCAAGCCTCCAAAGCTCACGCGTTTCCCCGAGCTGTGCTAAACGAGCCACGCTTGGCCTTTTGGCCAAGTCTCGTTGGCCTTGGCGCCTTGCAGTGCCGCCTCCAAAGGGTCCAAAAACTCCTCACACTGCACCTGGCCGGGCTCCAAATGCGCTTGGATCAGATAAGTTGCGCTTGGTCACAGCCGCTGCTTGGCTTAGCCGCTTAGCCCATGCAACAACCCCGAGCAATAAGTCGTACGTTGGGCCATTGGGCCATACACCAGAACCAGCCACCACGTGGCTGAGGAAGGACACTTCTGGCGGCTTCGAAGTCCATACACCTGGAATGGTAAGTTCGTCAGAAATCTAAATAATCCTGCAAACTTGGGGCAATAATCACTTGGGATAATCATGCTGAATCATGTGAAGTAAATTTGACTACCTCAACTTTTGCCCCAAATGGCAAATCACATCTTCAGATGGGGGTCCGCATTTATAAGCCTTAACATGTAACCAACGAGGTTCCAGGTTCATTAAAGAAATGCACAAAAGGCAGTGGCGTCGGACTTGAGGAGGACGGAATCAAAATGAAGCAAGAGGCCCAAGATTAGTGCTGCCCCTTACGGTTCTGGTCGCAGATTCATGTGTTTTTCATAACTTGACCCCCCGCTCCCGGCCCCACCCAGCCACCCACCCCGAAACACTCAATACTCACTTTCCTGGTGGTGGAAAATCACACTTCCTGTGATACGAAAGCGGAATCGAGTTTTGCCACCTGTTGGCTCAAGATGGTCAGCTTGCAAAATCCTTCTATTGGCATGCCTTCAAGAGGAATTCTCAACCTCAGATTCTTGCGCAACCATGCTGCCCAAAAGAGGAACACAATCTGCTGCCCAAAAAGGTCGCCCAAAAAGGGTCATTCTGCTTCATGATTGGAGCTGGCCCCTTAACATGTGTGTTCTACTGGTTGTTCAAGGTTTAGCCACCTGTAAATAACATCTATCCTAACTCTACCCTGCTTCCACGCTGGGAGCCAGTCACGGTTCTTCCCTCTCTCTCGCTCTCTAACTTATGTGTTATGTATGTGTTCTTCAGGTTGTGCAGTTTAGCCACGAGTTATTTATACTTACTCTCTGAGCGGGTTGGCAAAACAAATCCGAACTGTTTGTTTACCCTGAAAGTCTAATGCAACAACTCGGCCAGACACTAAAGAGCACACTTAAATAATAAATAAAAAGGCTAAAGGGAAGCAACGCGAAAGCCCGCATTTTGGGGGCGTCCCTTTATTATTTTGACACATTTGCACCAACAAAAAAAACAGCTCTACCCATTTCGTGCCGTTGCCTGCACGGCTGCGACCGGCCCCAGCGCTGCCAAGCCCAGAGCCAGCATCTCGGGTGGGCGGAAGCCGACCACGAACACTGGGCGGTGAGGATAATCCCGGCTTGTGGGTTGCTTGACCTGCTTGGCTGACTGGCCACCGGTGCCCAAACCTTACCTGACACCTGCCAGGACAAACAACTTGACCTTGCAAATTGAACAGTTAAGGCAGAGAACCAGCGATGATTGAAACAATGTTGAAAAAGCCTACCTAAACTCAGACAAGTGCTCAGGAAATGATGGAGGTGTGAGCCGAAAGGTCTGAGCCTGAGCAGAGAGAAGGACTCTGCAAGACTATGTTGGCAACAAACCTGACAGCCACCCGCTACAAGCAAGAATGCAGGGTCATGGGCGGGGGTCTACTTGACCTTCGGCACTTGTGATATAGGGCGACCCCTTGGGCTTCCATGAATTCAAGACAAAGAACAGGAGGAAGCCACCAGCTGTCAAATAGATGTGCTTTGGGGCAATGGCAGCTGAGCACATTGACCCGCCGAGAGATGCACCGAAGAGCGCCTTTTCACAAATTTCTTGTTGAGCAACAGGGGGCCTGATATACCTATGCGTACACATACACATCTAATTGTAGTCAGGGTCCCAGACGCTCCGTCTCAGGGCCAACCTATTTCCCTCAATATCTTGACAAAACACCTTCTTTTGTTGCAGGCCGTCAGAAATGGACAGAACCAAGAACCCGCAACAAAAGCCAACGAGCCAACAAGCCGACTCAACACCTAAACTAAAAGAACCGAGAAACCAGCTCAAGACAGAACCAACAGATCGAGCACAGTAGCGGAAAGCTGGGCAAAGCACAAACTGAAAGATTCCAACAACCAACGTCTTGAGAAACAAAGAGCTGGAACATCAACTAAAACACGTCAGCACTGAATCAGCACCAACAGAAAACAACAAAGACCTGCCAAACATAAACATGGCAAAAAACCGCCGTTGGCATCGCCATGCAAGGCAAGGCGCTCGCGCCAAAGAGGCGCTGCCGCGCAGCTGTTGCAGGGGCTGCGCCTCGGTTAGAAGAGCATAGGCTTCGTCGCAAAGGAAATTGGCGACGGTTTCCTTTGACCTCCCAATAAAAAGCCAACCAAAACTCGGTTGCTTTCTGCTCGCCTGCTAAAAGTTTAACCTTTTTAGTGGTTTAATGGAAAACCCAGTAGTTGGCAAAAAGTTAAAGTCCTAACATCCACGCAACATTCAAAGAAAAACCACCCACCGGGAGCGTTCCTTTTGTGGCGCTCGCCTGAAGCCAGGGGAAGGAAGAGCAGCAACTTTCACCTTCGACCGCATGGCGCATGCGAAAAGGTATCCCTGAACCCGCGCGCGAAAGGCACACCTTGCCCCTTGAAGGTTTTGGTTGGTGATTGGGCTGGGATGTTTTGAGGCACCTTCCCATGTTGCAAAAGGAACTGGGGTCAAGCCACAAATGGCCGAGGAGTTCTCGATCTCTAGCGACGGACCGATGAATCCGCCTGCGTCACCAGGCGCAGTGTGCTGTACATGACCTGAGTCGCCAATTTGTTTGCAAAAGTTGGCCCGTGGCTTTGGCATATCCAAACTTTGAAAGCGAGCATTTTGAAGAGGAGAGGCATCGGAGCTAGGAGTTCAGCGCAAAGGGGAGCGGTTCACAAATCCGAAATTATTTTTCAGGGTGTTTTCCCGTTTAGTGCCGCTGAGAGCGTTAGATTCACTAAGAAAAGGTCATCCATCCAGGCAACAGCCTACTTACGGAAACATATCTGCTCGCTTGCAGAAAGGACCCGGAAACAAGGAGTGAGTTTAAAACCCAAGCCTTGCTTTGAAATGATGGGCTCTTGAGGCAAAAGGGCACGGTGGATAAGGAGTCGACAAAAACAAACGCATTACCCATACCCTATGGGTCTCGCTTTGGGAAAAGTAGAGGAAACATATGGGCTAAATGTAGAACCCTCAAGTCCCGATTTGAGAGAACCCTCTTGGCCCCCCCGTACTTGGCCATAAGAGGACCACAAAGCCCAAGGTTGGGCTTTTACTGGGTTTATGACATCTTCTCCCCCCCCCCCCCCCGGGCTAGGCCGCTTCATGAGGAAAATAGGGAGCTGAACCCTCTCCTTCTGAAAACACACCGCGACCGGCCGGCCGCCGGCCGTTTCCCCCGTCCCCCGAGCCCGCGGCATCCTCCGGCGCCGAGCCGGCAGAGGAGGCCAAGCTCTGCACGATGCAGCCCAGGTCCGGCGCCGGGGCCGGGCCCCAGGCTAAAGCCTCAGAGCTCGAAGCGCTGCCCGTCTCCCCGTCTCGGAGGGGCGCGCCGGTCCGGCAACAAAACGCCGAGCACGTTGCCGAGAATATACATATACGTATAGAAATACATATGTATATATATATATAACATACGGTACGTAGAAACGTAGGCCCTGGAGGTGGGGGGGGGGGGGGCGGGTGAGCATGTAAGCATGTGTAAGATATGTATATAAGTATACATATATATATATATGGTTTGTATGCAGGAAGGTGTGTCTTCTCACCGTCATTGTTTACATCACACATGTGTATATATATATATTTACATATACTCATACGTATATGCATAGACAGCATGTGTATTTAGATAGATAGATGCTGCATGATGTATGGATAAATCTCTGGACTGACCTCCAATCAGTTAGCATATGCAACCAATGGGAACAGGTGGGACGCAATTGAAATTTCTCAGCAAATAGGTGTGCCACAATCGGGAGGTCCATGTCGAATTCTCTGTTCCTCACTATGCTTAACATTGCTTAACAAGCTAACATATGAACTCCAACCTAACATGTCAAACATAATTGACTGCAATGCATGTGTCCACAAACCCATGGCCATGCCCATCCAAGAGTGGCACATAGTCCATTCAAGCTAAAATTACACCAGCATAGACCCCAGATAGCGAAAGACAGGCCGAAAATTGCACACCAGCACAAAACTGCATCGGCACCAGTCCCAACAGCACCTGCACTAGCAACCCAAACTGCGCGCCCCCTAGCACCCTGCCGTCAATCTCGCAAAACGTTGCCCGCACCGTCACCTCAAACACCACCCCCCTGAAACAAAAAAAGCAATCTTGCAACAATGCGCACCTCAAACAGCCCCAAACAGATTCCCAAAACAGCACCTGTACCGTCACTCTTGCAAAAATGCGACCCGGCCGTCAAACTCGCAAACATGCGCCCGCACCATCAGTATCAGCTGCATCCAAACTGCATGCCAAACATGCACCCGCACTGTCACAAGCACCTCAAACACAGCACCCCTAAACACCTGCACGAGCACAACCGCATGCCCCGTGGCACCCTGCCGTCAATCTTGCAAAAAACGCGCCCACTCCCTCACCGGCACCTTGCACCAGCTCCAAAACTGCATTCCTCTCAGGTAAAGTCTTGCAAAAATGAGCCCGCACCGTCACCAGCACCTCAAACAGCATCCCAAAAAACAGCACCTGCACCAGCACCCAAACTGCATTCCGCAGCATCCTGCCGTCAATCTTGCAAAAATGCGCCCGCGCCTGAAACAGCACCCTGAACAGCACCCCCGCAAGCACCTGTGCCAGCACCCCAAACTGCATGCCCACTAGCACCCAGCCGTCAATCTCGCAAATATGCTTCCCTCTTTATTAGAAGTTAGAACCCCTATAGCTTTCAGCTATCTGGGGAAAAACTGAAAGCACGCAAATTGGAAGCTAACAGGCTGCCCACAAACGAATCTCTAGCCTTCGGTGATTCAGTGAACCGCATCACTGTCTGGGCATTGGCCTTCAGGGCGACCCTTTGCAAGTGGACTGCAGCCGCAGCGGCTGGAGGCGGGGGCGCCAGTTGCTTCAAGGCAACTTCTGCTCCCAACCTGCGCGCAACTCGCTCGAACTGGGCGGGTCTTGGAACCCCTGCTGGATTGTAGAAGCATTTGCACAAGGAACAGGTGGCATGCCTATGAATGTCTATCATAAAACATATGGAAGCGGATCCCGAACCCACCAAACAAAAAGGACTGCGAGTGTCTCTGAACAACCAAGCCTGGCGACAAGTTTCGCATCACCTGCAGAAAGAACCTAAGAATAGAGGTAACATTCATGGAATCCTCCTGGGCTTGGCTCCTTGGAATTTGATACTTTTGGCCAGCTAGTAGAGGAGTCGTCGCGTTCCAAAGGCTGCATCGCAGGAACAGTCCCAAAAGCTCCTGAAATCCACGAGGGTTCTGACCATGCCTTAGCCGCCCATGAAGAAGCCTATGTTGCTTACCCCTTGATCCCAGTCGGCAGAAAGCCCCTTGTTGGGTTGAACACTTGGGCCCGAACCCACCAAACAAGAAAGGATTCTAGGGGTGCCACTGAGCAACTGGCCAAGCATTCCAGAAAACTTGTGTGGGCGGGGTCCTTTGTTCAGGTTGCATCGTAGCTCGAACCCTAAGTCCCAAAATGCCATTTGCCTGAAATCCTCTGCAGGAGCCTGGTTTGAAACTAGGGCTGTTTGAAAGTTTACACTTTTGGACTCGAGCCCAAAACTACGGCCACCACTGCAGGAAGAAACCCAACCATCCCCAAGAATGCCTGATCACGCAGGGATGCAACTACTGCAAGTCCCTAACCAACTTGGGCAGGGCTGCGCAAACAAGAACCGCCACATTGCTATGAATCTTAGTTGGAAATGCATTGGTCGGCATCATTCACATGGGGCACCAAACCACAAAAGGAACCCTCGTTTTTTTTTGGGGGGGGAATCCTTGTTGTTGCCGACCCCTCTGCCAAAACATATATGTTTCAACCAAAAAGATACGGTCCAAAGATCCGTTACCACATGGCCACAAAGCAAATGGGTCTCCCCAAAGAGCTTGTGCAGGAACTCAGGCAGTGGGAAATATGTTTCCTCCAGTTGATAGCGATAACTTGCTGATGCTCAGGGAATGTGGTTGAGTGAACCCAGGGGTCGAAACCACAAGGGATGGCTTGTAGGGGTCATTCCCTTCCTACTGAGCGCCAGCAAGTTTTCTCAGGATGTTGTCCGACGTTTGTGGTGTATTCGGGGCCTTCCCTCATTCCTGCTGAGAACCAGCAAGAAGTTTGCAGGCCCAACTAGCTCCTCCAGTAGAGAGGTTAGAATAAGGGTCCCAACTGTTGCTGTCTATTTTAGTAGGGGAATCCAAAAGACCCAAAAAGAAACGGTAAAAGAAATGGCACCGAGCTGAAAGACCCAGCCGTCGCCTGGAGCTGGCGCCCTTGCGCAGGCGCTTGGCCGCCGGCTCGGCGCTCGCCGAGCCCGAGGAGGCGCCCAGGGCGTCGTCCAGGAGCTGCTGGGCCGGCGGCGCCAGCCTGCGCTGGTCGCTTTGGGGGGTTTGGGGCACATAGCTTGGTCCCTTGGTTGCTGCAACGCCCCCCCTGCAAGAAGTGTTTCACTTTTTGGGGGAAATCGTGGAAAACCCAACGTGGTTTCCCAAAAAGATCAATCCCAATAGCAGTCAAGATACCCCCACATAAAGACTACTTTCTTCTTGGAAAATGCCTTTTGCACTTCCATGTTAGCTGGTGGAAGGGTATCGCCAAACGGGAGAATCACCAGGTGATTCAGTTGATCTCCTTGCAAAAGCAAGTGGGTTTGCATGTGGCCTTATTAATAACCACCTTTACCAGCTGTTTCAAAGGGTTTCCATGTCTGCCAGGTGATGATTAGGTGTACTCTCCCTCTAATAATCATGGCAGCTGACAAGTGTCTCGTCTTCTTGGGGTACCCTCCCACTGATTAACATGGAACCTGACACGGGTAGCAGCCCGCGCGATCCGGCGCCTGGGCATGATGGCCTCAAGCTGTAGCTGCAGCCAGGGTTCCTGGCTGAGAGCATGCGAAGACTTTCAGGTACCCAAACTCAGATGCCCAGTGGCGCATGGGAAAAGAGGGCACCTTTTTTCTGTTGGTTGAGTTTAGAGGGGAACCCTTACCCAACACAAGGAAAAAAGGGCACCATTGGGCAACAGAGCAAAATAGAGCGAAAAATGTGGATACACGACATGTCAAAGGGTACCTGGAAGATCAATTTCATTTTCGAGTGAACAGCTGGGTGGTAAATAGAAAACTGGATGTTCAAAGGCAATAGTTTCCTTCTTTCTGAACAGCTGGGTGGTAATTAAAAACTGGGTGTTTCATTCGGAGCCCTGAAAGAGAAAAACAAAACTGGGTGTTCAATAGAATGGACCAACTTGTCAGCTGCCATGCTGTTGAGAGGGAATAAAGACGTACCGCTCCGAGAACATAAGCAAGACCTGGGCGGCAAATGGCGGGGCCCTCTGGAAAACACATCTTCTTATCCATCCCCCGCGTAGTTTCCTTCATGGGTCATTCGGCAGCCAGGCTTCTCTTGTGGGTGATGCCATTTATTTGCAGTTTGTTTGGAAGTGCGGGATCTGCAGAATCTAAGACGGTCTGACGGGTCTGAACTACTCTCAGACTACTAACAAGGCAAAATGGTGTGCATAAGTGCATCACCGGTAGCCAGTAAAAACCTGCGAACGAACAGGCAAGGCTTTGAGCGGCTTTAAAGAAAAGCCTTTCAACAGGAACTCGCTGCGCAATTTGGACTCGCGGGGTTCAGATCGAAACTCGATGTGAGCAAAGCAACGGGCGTGTCTCTCTTCAGCCATTTCACGGGCTCCGATATGGATTCATGTATTTCCCTTGAATACCCGTGGACTTCGAAGTTGCCTACCCAAAAAGGAACATAATGGAAGCATTTTATGGGGACCCTTGTTGCAAACCAACTGTATTTGTTGGATTCCTATTTTTTTCCGAAATGCCGGTTTTCCCTTTGGTTTCCCTTTGGACTGAGTTGAACATTGCACATCCTCGGGAAAACACCACACGTCTTCATGCCCTTTCCTCCTCCCCCCCCGCCCCAAGCGCCAAGCGCCAAGCGCCTCCTTGCCCGAGGCTTTCAAAGCCTTCAGCAGCGCCGCGAGGCCCGTGAGGCACACGCTGCGCTCGGTGCTGCGCTCTGCGCCTGGCGGAATCCCAGCGGAGTGCGAAGGGTTCACTGCCGTGGTCATGACTCAATGCGGTTCTAAAGCACCCCACACTCACAATCTACTTATCTATGTTATACACCTGGAGGTGATGATTTTAACATTTTAAAGTACGTTCTACTTCTTAAAGCTCTTATAACCTCTGGAGGTCTCCAGGATACCTAAAAATTGGTGGTTGGCTGGTTGGCTGGTTGGCTGGTTGGCTGGTTGGCTGGTTGGCTGGCTTGGGGTTTGCGCAAGCCAAAAACAAGTGTAAAACAATGTCCATTTGGGCGGGGGATGGCCTCAGGTTTTGACATGGGGTCGTTTTGAAAGTGGCCACCACGCAAAAGTGCCTTTAAATGGTGGTCTATAGGAAAACACGAAACCAACTAACTCTCCACATGCGTGGGTTCTATATACTATTTAAATTATTATTATTGTTATTAATATTCTTATCCTGCTTCTTTGTTTTCCTTCTCCTCCTCCCTCCTTCCCCTCCTTTCAAAGGATCACATGAAGAACATACGTCATGAAGCTCCTTTACCCGGGAGGGGGCAACCCCTTTCTTTATTGGGCTGGTCCCTAACTCTGATCATATATGACCAGCCGACCAGCCAACCAGCCAACCAGCCAACCAGCCAACCAACCAACCAACCAACCAACCAACCCAACCACCAACCAAACCATCAACCAAACAAGCAAACCAAAGCGAAGCTAGCAAGCGAAGCTAGCAAGCGACGCATACACATCAACACACCGAGCAAACAAAAAGCAAACAAACACCCCCAAACAGGCAACAAGAACCAGCCAACATCAATCGACGCCAAGCAACCAGCAAGGCAAACGATTCCAAGAAGCTAAGCAACAAATACCGCCACACATCATCACAAAGTCACAAGGTTAGCTGATCAAATGAGCCGGAAGTTGGTGGGGCTCAAGCGAATCTCACAATCACAAGCAGGACAAGCACCAGTACTTCAGGGGCTAAGCATCTACCAATTGTCCAAGTCTGAAAGAAGGCACCCCTTGTTTAACTACTAAGAAACCTTCATCGGCAACGCAGAAAGTTCGCCTTAGCAAATACCATTGGTGAACTTGTGGAATTTCATTCCGGTTTCTTAGCTCGTGCTTCCCCGAGGTCCCCTCGCCTTCTCCACTGACGCCCCACTCAGCCTGCGGGAAAATGGCCGCGGGTGTTTTTTGGATCCAGACCTCACCGCGGTCGGCTCCATGCCTTCCTTGCTACAGGCCATCCAAGGCTGCTGGTGTCAAAATGATCCTGGTGTCCGGTGAAGCCTTGTTGCCCCCATTCCACAGGAAACCGCTCGCTGTTTCACGACATCCTGCACCAGTTGGTGGTGCAAATCCCTTCCAAGATGGACATGTCCTCCATCTGTATGGGTTTGGAAGGGGCCCTTTATTGGGTTCCTGCCCCTTCCACGCGTGATGTTCAAGGCAGGCCTACTTGATTTCCTAATAAATGGGGGTAATAGCTCACAAAAGGCATCAACGAATTCTGGCTTCCGGTTTGTCTCTTGAGTAAATATGTTGCTGGACGAACATTGGTGCAAAGTAGATGCTGGTTCTAACGTGATTGCCGGCTATGAACATGTTTCGTTTCAGCTTGACTCATGTGTGCTTGACTTTGAAGGATTTTGTACCAACCCAATAATAGCGGGCTATGTCAAGACCGCAAGCAACCAAACAATTTTCACAATCGAGCCCAGGAAAAGACAAAGCCACAGACAAACACAACGAAAATCATATAACTACAGGAAAACACAGAACTAAGAAATACGACAACACGTACAGGCGAAAACGTCACACACAAAACAACAGCAACAAGCACTCTAGCCAAACACTGAGCACAAAAAGGGCAATCAGGCACACACAAACCTCGAGCAAAATGCGGAAGATTCCTTGGCTGTTGTCGAATACACTCGTTTGATTTGTATTTGTTGCCTTCATCCTCACAAGCCAAGCAAACAAACAACTCAGCGTGAATGGCAATGTTTGGAACACCAATCAAGCTCTGAGGGCGAGAACATAGATCCCGATCGTTTGGGCAGTTTCCTTTAGGCTCCACCTTGATACAACTCAAAGCTTACCCACCCAAATAAATATAGGTATGTGTGTACACATTCGACTTGCGTTGATTTAACGACAACTTCTTGGTTCCGAAGTGAGTTCGGATGGTTGCCGCGTGCTTTTGCCCGTGAAGCCCTTCTGAATCTGAGCGAGCTCGTCAAGAGCTGGCCGTGCCGACCAAGTTCTGAGATTCCAAGGGCACACCTTTTTGAAGTGATGCAGTAGCCATGAGGATGGCCAATGCTGGTATCACAGAAAATGTGATTTTCACAACCACAACTGAGCTAGGACATGTATTTTCAGGGCCAGAAAAGGGCAACCAAGGCAAACAAAAGTCCAACTTTGACTTGGCAAGTCTTGCACAGCCACCTGGGCGATTCATTATACTTCACAACATCGGAATTGGGAACCCCCAGCAAAGGACCTTTCCTGGGTGAGCTCGTCTTACCCGCTTCGGGCCTCCACCTCTGCCAGCATGAGGCGCACCGTCTCGTCCCTCTGCCGCGCCAGGCGCCCAATGGCGCCCGGCGAAGCCGTGGTGATGGCGCGGCTCAATAAGGCCCCTGAGGTGAGTCGCAAGATCAGAAGCTCACCCGGAAAAGGACACCCATGTTCCTCCCCTTCAACCTGTTTCCCTTGAATTCTACCGCATGGTTGTCTAAATACCCCACTTTCTCATGACAAGCCCTGCCGGCCCCAATTGAGCCGTAATCAAAGCTTGTAATAACTATGGTCGTAACAGTACAAAAGGACACCCATCTTCAACATCGTTACCTTGACTTCTACGGCATGATGGGAGAAGACATGAATCTGTACCTCTCAGCAACATCTAAATGTCCAATGGCTGGGACCTGCCAAGCTCAAGGAGACACACATCCCAATGCAAAGAAACAAAGGGGGCATCCTTTTAAAGCTCCTGCAAGAGGCCAACTGGATGCTAAAACAAGTATTCTCAGAAACCAACGTAAGCCCCAATCAGCATTGTTTGTTTTCCAAGGGCACGTGGAAAACATCATTGCCTGACCCACAAACACAACCTCTGGGCAAACACACCGTACTTAGTTGTCACGTTGCAAGTCCGGAACGTGTATCCAAACGCGCCCCCGTGAAGGCAAAACACTGAAAGCTAGCTCCACTGGGCTCATTTCGGGGCCGCGGCGTTCCAGGCGCACGTTCAGGAAAACCAGTGAAACCCAATCTTCAACCACCCACCCCCACCCCCACCCCCACCCCCAGCCACCCCACACCCACCCACCCCCACCCACCCCAGCCACCCACCCAACGCCGAGGCACCGAGCTCCTGGCGCTGCTTGGGCTTCACGGCCTTCGAGTGCTGCAGCAGCAGCGCCGCCCACAGCCGCAGGCGGCTGGCGCTCAGAGGCCCCGCCCAGGCGCCGAAGGCCCGCAGCACCTCCACCGCCGCCTCGCGCGAGAGTCGAATTCGGCGAGTGCGGAGGGCGCGAGGATCTTCCAGGCGTGTCGTGCTTGGAGGGTGTTAAGGTGGGTTTAAAGGGTTAAGGCGGGTTTTACAGGGGAAAACAACCCCCAAAGGCCTCTGTGCACGACTTAGATGACAAGGGCCTAGCTGGACCCGGACTCCTCGCTATCATGGGATGGGATGCGCCTGCGCCATTTGCCGTTTTCAAAGTCCTTCCCTTCAGCGGTAGGTTGAAGGAAAAAAAACCTCCATTTGCTTAAGCCCCCTGTGAAAATAATAATAATATTTTTCCAGTGGTGATAGGTTCCCTTTTAAAGCCGACTGGGAAAAACCAACCCCGTCAGTTTCTGACTTTGATAACCCTGAGAAGCTGCGAAAATCATGACCCGATTCTTGCGAATCCTTCCGCCGAAAATAACAATAAACATGTGAAAACTCTCCGAAGTAAAATCATGGGAAACCCTGACTGCAAGGTTGGCCGGCTCTTCAAAAATGGCAACCCAAAGTTGATGGAATAAACCACCGCGTAACAACTCGCCACACTTTCAGAGCGCATGCACTGGCCCAAGGAAGCTGCCCCAAAAGAGTAACGCCCGGAAACTGAAGAGAGCCGGAAGCTGGGTAAAAGGACTGGCAAAATTGACAAAGTACTCACTTCCTGCTGGCTTCCTTTTGCAAAGGTTTCAATGGGCTACGCGCTGTGGATAGACGGAATTCTGCACCACCTACGAAACCCTGGACTGATGATTCCAGTCTAAAATGCCAACAAACAATGGTCTCATCGCTTTTGGAGGGAAACACCCCCATGTGAATCAACTGTGGATCAACGAAATCAATTTGGCACCACTTTGAAGCCACGGTTGAAACCCCACTAAACCCAACCCCCCCCCCCCCTATGAATAAACGGGGTTGATTCATCCGGGGTCCACATTAGCACCCAGAAAGCCACCGCAACTCGCTTCGACCTCTCCCCCCTCCTCGCCTGTGGCGTGTGCGGCGCCCAGGCGCGAATCACCGGGTCCAGCAGGAAGATCAGCTCCCGGAAGTGGCTAGCCACGAACTTCCCCGTGTCCGCCCACTCCACCTCTCCCGGAGAACGCAGCGACAAAATACTCAGCTTCCCTCCAATTAGTGGGGTGGTTGGTGGTTTTGTGGTTAAGGAGGGATTCAAATCCCAAATCAATCTGTGGATGGGCTATGCCAGTATTCATCCCAATTGGTGCAGGATTTCGTCCATCTACAGTATATATGTTAACCACTTTGTCTGCAAACGCGAAAGTATATAGTTTCCCAAAAGTTGAACAGTTGAACTCTAAAAGGATACTCAACTCTTTGGATTTCCTCCCAGCCCTAACCCGCCCACCAGTTTCCTCCAAACATAGTCTTATTGAGCTCTGCTTTTTTGGTTGTGCGCGGGGACATCGATTCTGGAAAGCAAACATACTCCTTGGAGGTTTGGTCATTTGACACCCATAAGATCCCCAAACCCTCTCCTAACCCCATAAAGCAACTCATCTCCCAACAGAAAAGGAATCGCACTAATAATGGCTTGTCTCACCTACAGGCATGGTGACAATGCTTCTCTGAATTCTGTCCGGGGGCCACGACTCTGACGGTAAAAAGACCCGTGTTTATTGCCAACGCTCGGAGAAACCTGCAGGAGCGTGCAAGCCAAGGGCGGTTCCCCTTTCACTTTGTATTTAGCACCCACCACCTTTGTGTTTAAGAAACATATCACACTCAAGAATCACTTCACGTGCTTGTAGAAGAATGGGCTTGGCTAAAATCGGGAGGCCCCAAGATGCATGGTATTCCTTTGCTGTCCCTTTTGAACCACAAACGTCGCACCCTCTAGGGGTTGACTCCCCATTTTTTCAATTTCAACCATCGTTCTTCGCAAAAACCAGCTGTTTCTCCTGGGTTCTTGATTCCCTGAAAAGAAGGGGAGCCCTGGGAAGAATAGGATTGGAAGCTTCCCCTATAAAAGTGGAGAGTTTGGAAGACCACCATCCTGGGGCCCCAAGGCTCCACTCCTTCCTGTGGTCTCCTCCCCGCCTGGGGCGCCACCTCCCTGAAGGCCGTGGCCACCGCTTCCGCGTCCACCTGACGAACTGACGCGGGTCCAAGAGTTTGCGTGCAAAAGGAGAAACACATAGAACACACCCGCACAAAACAGGGAAACGCGCCGAATAAACCTACAACAACGAAACAACAACACTTACAGCAAAACCTCAACCAAAAGGGTAAAGACACGTTTTGGCTTGGTGGTGGCTCACAACCACAAATGCAAACTGACAAATTCCACAACCAGCCTCTAACTGTGGCTTACCGCATTCAAAGGAAACCTGGGTCAGGGAGGGGACGGGTTGGAATCCTGATGTAACGGCGATTTCAGACAAGCCTCAAGACAAAAGAGTCACAGATGTGGAGGTTTTGATTGGTGGTTTAGAGATGAATGGGCATCATTACTTTTCAAGTTAGTTTCCAGAAGCGGTTCAAAACTCCAAATCACCATCCAAACAACCATCGCAATTGACTATGTCCCCCTCTGAAAATCATAATAAACATAGCATTCCAACAGGCCAACCTCGAAGGAGAACGAATTGACAGGTAGGGGTATGTCTATCTGGTGGGCTCCAACAAAACTGTAAGTTGGGAGGTCCAACACAGAGAGATTCTTCATCCCTGATGCCTCTCTTCTGTCCCCCTTTGCCAGAAGATACGGGGATGAACACAAGTCGACTCCATTGCCTGAAAAAGAGGTAAGATAAAGAAGCGATAGAAAGATTGTGGGTTGTCATGACAACAATCCCTTCCGATCGGCTTTCCCCTAATCACACATTTGGATTGGCGTTCCTGGGGTAGTCAAGAACAAGTTTGTTTTAATCCCCAGTTCCCACTTAAGGGCAACTTGATTACACCAGGGACTCATTACGCGAGTGGATGAGTCACACAAAATCTAGACTTGTTGTATAATCACCTAAATGTCCCTCCCAAACGTATAACCTCTTGAAAGGGCAACATATTTGTAAGGCAGTCTGAAAAAGGACCACCAATACTGGGTGCTAAATGCGGCGGAAGGGCTCAGAAAGATCCCAAATCTCCCCAAGGGGCGTCCTTTGGTCCGCCCCGGCCGACGTCGCCTGGCAAACGTCTCCGCAGGTCAGCAGCGGCAGCTGCAGCGCGAAGGCAAAGATGTGGCTCGCCTCCGAAAGCGGATGCGCCACAGAACAGCTGGGGACAAACTGACACGGGGTGAACTCAGCAGGTGATATCCCCAGCCTCCCTGAAACCTGCACTCCAGAGCTTGATGTGGGCAAAAGGCCCGTAGCTTTCAGCTGCTGACGAACAACTCATGGCTACAGTTGAGTGAAAATAGATGCCTCCCCTCAGTTAGTTTAGCAACCCCCTCTTACGCGAACAGAATTGTGCCATCTGCTTTCACGCTTGTTCAGTTGGCCTTTTTACTCACCGCAACGGCCTCCTAACCTCCAAAAACGGACTCACCCTGCTTCCCTGTGGGGAAAATGTGATCATAAGCGGCCACACTTGCTGACTCAGTCGGTGCCATTTCGCGGAACCAAATTCCCAAGCCAAACTCCGAGGGCTTGCTTGCTTGACTCCAAAAAACACCGCGGGTCGGTTGACCCCTTCACCGGGTTGAAATGGGTTGAAGCTACGTTTGTTGGGCCGCAAAGCAACAGGCCTCGTCCACAGGCTTTAAGTGACTCATGGTGCGCTTTGGGCAACTTAGGGATTGTGCTTTTTCTTCTGGGTGCCAAAGGGTGGGATGGTTCAAGCGGGAAACCATGGAAAACCAATTTATTTCACGTGTCGCCATTTGTGAACTTGCCCCGGCGGGAAGGGGCCACTCGCTGAAAGGAGACCGGACATAAGTTGAACAACCTTGAACAAATGCAAATTCTAAGGCTTTCGAAATGAGATGGACTACATAAGTACTCACATTTCTCTCCAATGATCATGGCTTGACTTGCTTTTATTTTAACGCCCCGCACAACCCCGTTGTGATCATGTTAGTAGGCTCTTGGACTACTCGTGTCATCTGGCCGTTGCCCTCCCTTGCACAAGCCCAAATCAAATCCACTCGGCCTTGCGCTGCAGTAGGGGCAGCACCTGCGGTTTGGGATGTGGTCCAGGGTCCGGTGAAACTGCTGAAACGTACTCCCCCCGCCAAGCGACTTTCCAGCATCAATCCATGGGATCCCTTTCATTCAGAGCCCATGGAAACAGGCCGCAGAAGCCGATCTTGGAAGAGTTCACCGTTCAAACGCCAGAAACACAGTTTCGACCAACTAATGAAATCAGGTAACATCGCTTCCCTTGCGTGTTGAAGGAATTCCGCATTCATGGCAACCCATTGCACAAGGGACCTGTCCCCTTGCAAGCCTTATGTGCGACCCTTCGGCCAAGTGATGGTTGGGGGATCCCGTAGTTCAAAAGGACACATCGGGAACCCCATTTAACCAAACCTCAACTCACTTCCACAGTGGAGTGGTCACAAAAATGTCCGATTTGCTTGTGCCCCACCAAGCAAAGATGGTCTTCCCAAAAAGTGGCCGAAGTCCAGGAACTCAGGCAGCGTACCAAACAAAGCCACACCCAAATCCACGGGCTGCAACGGCACCAAGACACCCAGTCTTTCTCGAGCCCGCCTTGTCGCCAAGCTTCTCCTGTAAGACCTGCACTCTACGGTTCCCGTCACATCACCCACGAGGAACCTCATCAATTGGTGTGGTAATTCAAAGTGGCGTCAAGGAAAATATGGAGACATATGGAGACCCGCAGAAAGGTCAGGTAGCCCTTGCAAAACCAGTTTCTAATTGCATGTAAGTGGAGCAAGTTCCGTCCACGCCATGGAACCTACCAAAGACCCGGTTCCCCCACAGTTCCAAGCCAACGTGGAGGGTAGTTCAGTGTCCGCTTTCAACTCCCTCCCCCAAGACTCAGCTTCCCTCTAATCAGTGTTTCAGGTTGGTCTTTTGGAGGTAACTTCCCATTCGCCTCTCGCAAGAACCAAAGGCTCACACTTCCAAACCAATCCAAACCAACTGAGGCTCACCAAAGAAAAACAGAAGCATCCGGAACAAAACGCACGCGGGCCTCTGGCTGCCTAAGAGGATCGACGCGTCGCGTACCGACGCGCGCGCGACGCGACGGACGTCGCGAGCGGCGCCTGCAGAGACTTCCGCAGCGGCACCAATGCGCCGGCCAAGGGCACCGCCACCAGCTCCAGGAACTCCCCGCTGGCGGCGCCCAGGCCACAGCCTGGGGGACACAAAATTCGGGGGGGGGGGGGGGATTGTGCTGGGCAGAGGCCGTTCTTTGTATGTATGTCGGTTGTGACTGTATACATATGTATGTATATATATATATATATATCTGTCTGGTTGTTCATCTGTCTGTCTATGTGCAAAGGTACTTCGCACATTACCTGTGTATGCAATACATATTATTCGTTTAACATAATCATGTGCATTAGACATACAAGATATGCCTGTGCGCAATTATGTAGATGGTTGTGTGTCTTGTATGCCCGTTTGGCTGGTCAGCAGCAAGTCAATTTGGTTTGCTCCAGAGTGCCATGAACAGGCTGCCACAAAACAACATGTAAACTGAACCCGTGGTACGGCCCCGTGTGCAATATATTGTTTGCTGTTGACACATAGGTTTGATTCACCAATGCATCGTGTGCATACCTATATATATATAACATGTATGTACATACGCGCATTCACACATACATATAACTATATGTGTATATATATATATATACAGTTGCTTAATATTAAGATACAGCCTCCCCAGTGGCAATGTGAAAGCCAGCAAGAGGCATGTTGGTGTCCAAGGCCTGCAGCCAGCTTTCTTGCTACCGGGTAAGAGGACGCTATGCGCACGCATGCGATGGCATTATGAACTTTAAATTCAGCGAAACAGCCACGGCGGTAGGTTTGGCCTGTGCGCCATATTTACACCCTCTGTAGCATCAGCAGAACCCGGCTTCTCCACAGAAGCCGGCGGCTTGTTTGTAACGCAACCGCACCCTCCCAGGTGAAGCTGATAGCCCCTCAAACACAAACATGCCATGATGGGCACAAGAAAAGGTAGAGGTTCCCAGTTGTGTCTGGAGGGAACCCTCATTGCGTTTGTGAAGGGCAAAGGTCCATGAGTTCCTTGCACAAGGGAGAAGGACGCGCTAGGGCATAGAGACACGCCTTGTCAAAGGCAAAAGGCAGCTTAACCCAAGCCTCTTACTTGCTACTGGCCAAGGCATGGACTTTATGTGCCCTTTATGAAGAATGTTACAAGAAGTTTAGGATTTCCAACAATCATGGAGGTGGACAAGAAAATTGCTCAAGTCAAGAGGACAGTAGTCCTCCCAGTCAGCGTCCATGATCGCTGCGAGAAGGGTAGGGCTCCAACATATACTGATGATTCCAAGGGGGTTCTTTTCTGCCAACCTCTGAGTTGCTTCTTCCTTTCGTTCGGTCACCACCGCCATGACACAAAACGAAGCAAGCCAAACCAGGCCAAACCAATTCAACCCCAAGCAAGCAAACAAACAAACAAACAAGCAAGCAAACAAACAAACAAAGAACCAACCAAAAACAGGCAAGCAAACAAACAAACCAAACGAACAAACAACTACTGAGGTACACGCACCAGATCCGCAAGGCAAGAACCCCACGCTTGCCCCCATTCGCGCGGTTTGGCCGAAGCACACGGCGCCAGGTCACCCAATTGCCCGAAGTCCTCCACGAAACATGGGCCCCCCTGGCATGAACCTCCAAGACCACGTTCCTCGAAAAAAGAGATCTATCTCTTTGTCAGGTTCCATAGTTAGAAAGGGAATGTTGGCCGAAAATACCTGATTGTGCAATGCATCCCCGGAAAATGAGCAGCCCCAACAGGCAACTAACACAAACCATGAGCCGTGAACAATGAATGCAAATAGGACGTGCCTGCCTCCGACAATCTTGTTTCTTTTGATCCCTTTCGTATCATGGCTAGTCTCCTTTGCCTTCCTGCTTCAGCCCCAAAAAGGGAGTACCCTCCCAACAAACATGCAAGCCCCTCGTGGAAGACTACTCTTCCTCTTGGATAAGTGGCCCGTGCACCAAGCCCGTGTTTATGTTTGCTGGAGGGTACCAATTCGCAAAGGACACAACAATAAGCCCTCAGTCATGGGGGTATTGAAGAAAGAGATTCCCACTTCAGCCGAGGGAAGGCTCATTTGAGATCGCTCTCATTTGGTTGATTCGGTTCGCATTCTTTTTATTTTGTTGCCAATCGTTTTTTCGCCAATTGAACGCAACATCACTTGGGGGGTTGGTTGGTATTCTCTAAGGCGGATCCCTGAAGCATCGGAGGGAAGTGCTTGGGACACTTGCTCATTTAGGAACCGATCGAACTACAAGACCACATTTGGCACCATGAATCTCCAACCCACAAAGGCACAGAACTTCCCAGGTTCCGCCCACACCAAAGGCACAGCACTTCTCAGGTTCATCCGACCCTATTTGGCTAGGGCTTTGAAAGCCCATGGGGTTTAAACTCCTTACCGCGGCGTCCTCCGCCAAGACCATGGCCACTACCGCCGCGGCGAGGTGTCTTCCGAGGCCCCAGCGCTGGCCTCGAGTTGGTATGGGTGGCTCGTCTATGCTCGTTTTTCAGCTGGGATGTTTGCTGGAAAACCTGGTTCTCCCATGAAAATACCTCCGTTTTTAGCAAAGGTCACAATGGCCATGGGCCAGGAACTTTTCCAGTGGTGAAAGTTGTCTTGCTGGTTGGCTTTCCGAATGGTCACCCCATGCAAAGGACTTTTTGATCAAACCCCTATATGTTGCATCTTCCTATTTTTTCCCGTTGCGAACCGTCTGGAGAACTTGGGTGAATCTGAGGTCCTCTGCCTATAATCCCGAAACTAGGCAACCAGGGTGGAAGCTGCACATGATGATGCGTGTCACCGTACACGACCATATTCTTCCAAAAGGGCTCAGCGCACCTTTACGTTTGAAGGGTACCAAACGTCAAACAGGATGGTGGGCTTTTGGTACCCCTTCCCCTTTTACATATATATATATATATGATTATATATGTATATAATTGATCTATACACAAAATTGAGTAAACCAGTTGGGTTGGAAATTCGCACGGCCAAGCATTTAACAACCCCAAGGTAGTCGCCGACGGTCGCCGTTTTCCCCTCGCGCCTCGGCCTGGCAGGGACGGCATCTCTGGGTTCAGGCCGAGGTCCATCAGAGGCAGCTGCGTGAGGCGGCCCCGGGCCTCGGTTTGTTTCGGGGGGAGCCTAGGTTTGCGAATGGTTTAAGGGTTTCTAGGTTTGCCATGTTTCTTTTTTTGATTTTTTGTTTAATTTTTTCGGGGGGAACTGGGGGCGGGGGGGGTGGTGGGGGGCAACTTGAGGTTCCCTCGAAACCGTGGTTTGGATTGGTTTCTTGGCGGGCAGGCGAGGTATTTTTCTGGGTCCTTGGATTCGTTGCCATGGAGCCCACAGGGGCTCTAGGCTACAACACCAAAACAAGGCTTGGACAACGTCCATTTGGCCATGGGTCAAAAGCCCGTCCCTGAGTGAACATCCCAATCCCCACTAAAATAGACTAAATGGGTGGTGCACCTACCCCAAAATGGTACCATTGGTTTTGACCCACAGCCATTTTTCCTGGGGGCCGAGATTTGAGGGGGGTCCAGTCAACATGGAAGTAACTGAAATAACGTGAGTGCCCGGGCCCGAAGGCCGTCAAAACGAGTCGAAAAGAACTACGCGCATGTTGGGTATCAAATAGGAGGTCTGGCGAAAAACCGTGAAGAAATGACTCATCCCCTTTGACTTCCTTGAGACAATCAATCAAGGTCGTCGTTGTTGAGCGTCTGCGGCAGAAAAGTCGGTGTTACAATAGCACGGGCTAAGCGTGCAGAAGGTCTCGAGCAAGGGGATCAATCCCAACTAACCACCGAATTGGACAAAAGCAACTCCACCAGGTGGGGTGGATGAAACCTACAAAGTCATGGGATAAACTCCACCTACCAAGTGCGAAGTTTACTTTTTATCCATGTGGTTGCTATGCACCCGCGTCCATAGCTAGCCATCGGCCCCTTGACCCTCGGCTTGCGCCAAAGGTACGCGCAGCACCCGAAGGAAGATCGGGGCCCGGAAGGCCAAGGCCAGTGGGGAGAGGCCCCCACTAGGCTCCTGCGAAGGGTTTGGGTGGGGACTTCTCATTGGCTGGGGCCCTGTGCAATCCAACGCGAGAATGCGGAGGATGGTTCTGTGAGGAGCCTTACCATGGGGCATTTCGTAGTTTGTTTCTGGGCTTTGGCCCAGCCAGAAGGCCTATTCTGGGAAAAGGGCGACGCCCCGGAACTTCCTGACCTATATGGTGTTATAACGAGGGGAGCGGATCGCAAGACAGGTGCAAGTATATTAGATACAGGAGAGTTTGTCTCAAAATGGAAGGGGAACAAACAAACTTTTGGTGGGTGTCTGTCTTGTTTCCTTGTAACACAACCCACCCAACAAGTCTCCACATAGGGGTGACCACAACAAGGGTCTCCTGAAACACAGGCACCGATCCATGTGGCTTTCCTCCATGATTGGTTTCCCTTCAACCCCCCCCCCAAACAAAAAAAGAAGAAGAAGATAATTCCCTCAAAAAACAATTCCCTCCATGATTGGCGTCCCTTCAAGCCCACCCCCAAAAAAGGGGGGGGGTCCTCCGAAAAACGGCCCACCCACCCGCTCGAAGTCTCCTCCTCCAGCAAGCTCAGCACCCTCCGCGCCGTGGGCCGCAGGCCGGAAGGCACCGTGCACACCCTGGGCAGTACCTGTCGCTGGTTGGGCACCATGGGTCGAAGAAGCTCATCCCAAAGCAGTGGGGTCACGGTTCTCCCCAAGCTCCATCCTGTGGCTGGTTCTCAATTGCCATTCCCATGAGGCCAGAACCCAGTTGCAACCTGCGACCCTAGCTAAGAGGGCCGTGCGTGGTTGGCATTTCCTTTCAACTTTTTAGTTGGGAAGGGATTCCAACTACAAAATGAAACTAAAAATTGCTGCCCTTTCTCTCTTGGCCACCAGGCTGACAAAATAACTTTCAGGCCAGCTTCGAAGTGGTCAATTTGCAGGGAAGCTCAGCTGTGCTTTAAATGCTTCAGCATCTTGGCTTCAAAAGGAACTGCATCCAAACCACCAATTGCTGGGTTCCTATTTCTTCTACCAAGGCCAACAGAAGAACATATAGGTTCGTCTCAAGTACGGGGGAAACATCCAAAAAGGGTACCGCGCTTCAAAAAAGGACGCACCGTACAGGAGGACTCCTGGGATTGTCACTTCCCCCTCATAAGAAGTGCACCCTATTAATAAGTATCGCTTTTGCCAGGCAATACTACTCTTAGAATAGGCCAATTTTAGGCCCCATACGCTGGCTGAGTCTTTGCCCTGGGGGGTACCCCCGGACCCCCGTCCCCTGTACCAATCCCATCCTAAATGGCAAAAAGAACAAGTGCAACCACATGACAAAGTAACAATTTTGAAGCTTTCCGAGGAAAATGCTAGCTCCCCGTGCTAACCTTATACTAAACAAAATCAGGAAAACAAAAACATATCCCATTTTCCTCCCACAGTTTGGACCACGCAAAGCTACAATTCGTGCCCGTTTCAAGGGATGAGTACATCTGCTTCTAGGGGATCACATCCGACCCCACAATTACCCCATGAGCAAATATCGTGTGGCTCCCAGCCGGCATTTGTTAATAGCGGGGCGTAGCCATTCTTAGGAAACGATTCAGGGGCATCAATTATCCTTTTAATAAATATCCTCTGGCCCTCAGCCAACATTTTAAAGGGGGAGGGGGGGGTATTGATTAAGGTGTGGGGATCCACTCGCCTGGTGGGCAAGCCCGCTCTTGGCCATGGCCAAGGCCACTTGGAAAGCCACCAGCGCCGAGCTCGGCAGACCTCGCGCAACCGGCAAGACCCCGCCAGCTGCAGCCGCGTCCCCGTGCTTGTTTTTGGCCCAGGGGGGAGCAAGGGGTCGCTCCCCTAAGAACAACGACTGAGCCTTGGGCACCCGCAACCATCGCCTGGTTTGGCAAGTGTGCAAGAGCCCACATCGCCCGACATGCTTCCATGGACAAGTGGAAAAAAATGACATGTTCTTGGTTGAATGCATCTCCAGTAGATGACCTTCCCTGCAGTTTCGAGGTTGCGCCCTGCTTGGGTCTTGCTCGAAACTATCAGGAAACTCCCCCCCAAGTGGATTGGTCAAACAATACAATACAAAAAATGTACTTTTTAAATGTAAACACCCAAAAATAAAATATATTCCGACTTTCTATATTTAAACCCCTCTAAAATTGACCCGAACAAGTTCTCTCAACTTCCAGCTGAGTCCCTTGAGTCACTCAACCGGCCTGGCGCCATGGACTCAGAAGACAAGGCCTCCAGCATTGGGCTGAACTCCTTCGCGAGGTTTCGGGCTCCAGTAGAGAGGTTAAAATCAGTTGGTGCCGAATTTTTTCTGTAGACTATTTTAGTGGGGGAACCATCCCCCAAAAAATAAATGAATGGTAAAAGGGCACTTCTGGGAAACCTAGTCTTCCTCTTCTAGCCACCCCAAAACCTGGGTTGCTGCAACGACCGCACTTGGCTGCCTAGGTTTGCTCAAGAAGGGTATAAAACACATGAATCTAAAAAAGCAACTAACAGGAAACTCTTCCGGAAATATTTGTTTTGGTGGCCCACTCCTGTGGCTGGTTTCTATGTATAGCTGGCTTCTATGAATAAATTGTGTTCATCGTCTTTTGGTTCACCTTCCCACTTGAAGCATGTCCTGGAAGACCGTGGTGTTGTCAAAGGCCTCAAAGAGCACCGGCATGCAGGAGCCTTAGGTCTCAGTGGATCCCAGGCAAGCCAGTATGGTAGATGACCCTTCGCCATTGTCCTTTTGGCCTTTAAAGGGTTCCCTTCATTTCCGTATAGGGACATGGAATCACTGGGTATCATTTGATGTTTTGTGGTCGTATTCTGGTGACTGGCCACTTCATGATTTTGGGGTCGCTGCATGGGTGCGTGTGATTTGATCTTTGCTCCTGTCAGGTTGGTACAAAGGGAAAACAAAACGAGCACCACAATGGGAGGCGCGATGGCGAGTACGCCAAAAAACCGTAGTTCTGTATTGAATGACGCTTGTGGACATGTTCAATGTGGGATTGCAGACCGGTGATGTGGATGTGGATTGACGTGATTCGGATTGGGAACTTGGGACGTAGGAACTTGGGTCCTTTCGGGGTGAACTCTTCTCACACATTGACACACGCCCATTGCAAGCCTTCAAAGACAAACTCATCTCCAACGAGCTATCTCCACTCACCAATGGTCGAGGGCTAAATTTGGGATGCCAAGTTCAACCAACAAAAGGCATCCTCAAAAAGGAAAAGAACAACCCACACATAATCACATCCGGATAGGTTTACATAATAGGTTCAGACTGTGGATGGACGAAACCCTGCACCACTTGAAGCCATGAGAAGCCATTGTTTGCTGGCATGTGCAAGGGAATCTTTATTCCAGGGTTTCTTAGTGGTGCTGTATTTCGTCCATCCACAGTATTGATCCCATTTTTCAGTGCTGCCACGCTTCTACCCTTCCGATCAGGTTTGGAATACGATCCCAACCTCCAGCTTAAGCCCCCTCTCCACTTCCCTCGCAATTTCTCGCATTGGAGGCCAAAACAGATCCACGGCTAACAACTTAACCTTTAGTGGGTAAAGTGGAAACCCCCCTTGAAAACCCCAAGCGCAAAATTTCAGGGAGCCGGATGTGGTTCGCCAGATGAAACGTGCAGAATGAGGTACGTGGTACTGCTGCCGAAGGCACTGGCCACTTCCAGCTGCACCTCGCAGGAGGTGTCCTTGAGGATGAAGTCGGGCACGGCACCTTCGACCGGCTGGGGAGGGGGGGTGCGGCTGCCGTGAAAGCAGCCCGTGTTGGACCCGAACCGCAAATGGCATAAACGGCCAATCAGAACCGGCTGCAAGTCATCCCAGGGTGAATTGCCAGAAAACCAAAAACGTAGCTGAGCAAGCGACTGACATGATAATGTGACAAGCATGGTGGCTGCAGGACGCGGACGGCTATCATAACCCTTAAGGCCTCTTGGCTTGTCCTGAAATTGCCTTCTTGGAGGTCCTTTGCTCCAAGGCCTTCCGTCCCCTGGGTCATGCGACAAGTTAGCGAATCTCGGGGCAAAGGACCTTCATGCGCCTCACTCAGCTCAGCTCACGTTCGCCATTGGGCAGCTACATCGCCAAGGAACGGGGAGGATATTTTGCATACAACTTGGTGAAACCATAAAGCATCTAACATCTTTTGATTCCAGGCTTCAAAATCGCCAAAACCAACACCGACTGCTTCCGCCTTGGGAGATACAAAAGCTGTCACTTGCTTGTGCCCTGGGGGGAAGGGCAAAGGTGTGACTTGGACAAAATCCAAAGCAGTTGTTAGATACATTTCGCCCACGTACCCGATGGAAAGAACAGCTCAACCTCTTGGGGCCGGAAACTTCGAAGTGAAAACCAAAACTACTTTAGCGCTTTACTCGAATTCTAACATGGCGTCAAAGGTCGCATCAACCGAAGTTGCTAAACCACGGTGTGTCGACTTTTTGAGGTACCCCGTCTTGCTGGGGTCCAAATGCAAAAACACAAAGATGCTTAGGCCACACAAGTTTGCATCAAGATGGCGTGGGTGTCCCGCCGAGAATGGGTGCTTTCACTTTGGTTTGCTTTGGAATCATCTCAAACACCGGACCGTTCTCCTCGCACAAGGGCATGTCCATTCACAGATTCTTGCTTGCGCACTCATGGCCTGGCAAACCTATCGTCCACACCGATTTGTGCCCACTTCTCTCAACAAAGGCAAGCCTCACAAATGCAAGGCTCAGATCTCCCCCGCCAAATCCAAAAACAAAAAACAACAAAACCACCTGGTTGGGAATGCGGGCGTGTGGCTTGGTTTTCGGCGCTCGGTACCCTCTGAAACATGCTGAGTGGAGTTTACTAGCAGCAGGCCGGCGTCATTTGCCGCCATGCTCCATTGATTGATCCCTTGCTGAAGTTGTCTTTTAGCGTGGCGCGTCATAAGTCTGAAAGGCTCCTACATTTGCAGAAACCCAAGCGCTGATGCTGCTTCCAGCCACCACAAAGCAAACGAAAACAAAAGAACCAGAACTCCATACGTTCCCTATCCAACCATCCTTCCAAGTATTGTTTGTGAGCAACACCAAATTTGCCGATGTGTGCAAGTTCGCACCCGAAAAAGAAAAGAGGAAAAACAAAAAACAGGACGGGTCGAACCAGGCTATTTGCCGCCCATGCGGCCCATGCAGCAGTTCGCCACAATCTGCACCTGGTCCGTCATCCCCAGGCTGTTGAAGAGCCGGAGGCTCTGGGTAAGGACCTAAGCTCAGGCCTCTTTAGCCGGTGACCTGAAACCAAAAGGCTTGAAGAGGTTCTTTAAGCCGCCAAAAAGGAGGTTGAACGTTTAAACTTAAACCACAATCTGGCTTTCCACAACCCTGCCAAGAGCAACTACAATTTGCTTAGAAGGTTTGGGCGTATGTGGCTGTTCCATTTGGTTCCAAAGGGGAGCGGGTTCCAAAAACCGCCAGTGCATGTTGACCCCGGATTTATCCACCTCGTGGATTCACTCTGTTTTTGCATCCTGGATCCACACCCGTGGCATGGTCAACTCCGAGTTAGTGAGTCACAAGTTCCCCGAAAGGAACCTCACCCCACCAGTCATGAAGGCTAGCTCAGTGGTCTCAATCCTCAGGTGGCTGAAACCTCCCAGCCCCCACCCAGCCCCGGCACCGCTCATGGCTCCGCTCACGGCATTGGGCCGCTGACTGCCCATTTGCGCCCGAGGCGCGGAGGCCAAGGCCATCTTGGTCCGGGCGTTCGGCCACCACTTGTCACCCAGCGCCTTCGCAGCTTCCGTACGTTAAGGCTGAGCAAGGACCAGACTGCTTGGGTGCACTGAAAAATGGATCATCTCCCTTCCCCCCCCACCAAACAAAAACAAAACAAAAAACACTGACATGGATTTTTCCCTCCCCCCCTTCCCCAGCAACAAACGAAAACGCCAGAAACTCGGGGAAGAAGTCAAAGGTGGGGCACTTGCTATGACTCAGTCAGCCACAATGGTCGAGCATGACCTGATGTGTTTGTGTTGGGCTTGGCTTTGGCAAAAGCTAGCATGGAACTAAACCCGGAAGGCAAATTGGCGGAGGGACTGCCTGTTCCAAACCAGAGCTGCAGCAACAGAGCAATCTTCTAGCATCCAAACGGATTCGGGCCAATTTTCCACCAGGGCGACTACTGCGATATCCGGGCAATGCGGGTGTGTAAAGGGGATGGCCGAATCCGTGCAAGCCTCTATATGAGCACAACACTGGAAAGTACTACAAATCAGGTTTTGACACTAAACGGAAAAGCCGCTCAAATGGAGTTCCCTTCAAAAGAGTAGGCCAGGGCGGAATCTTAAAAAAAACAGCAACCAATCTGCACGTTTCATGTTCACGTCTCACCGGACAGGGTTGCTCCAATAAGCGTCATTAATCCGCAGCTGACATTGCCCCCTGAAACTCATATGATCCCACAACGGATGAATGTAGCACTACCTGGACACAGTCCCATTTGACCTATTTCAGTGAAAGTGAACTGAAGGCCTGGTGAAGATGATGGTAGTCTTCCAAAACACTCCTGTGCACGTCCAAGAGTCTTAGACTAGGGTCAGGAAGCGCACTGCAGGTTTGTCTCAATTGGGGGGGGCCAAGTGGGTGGTTTCCCTCGTTAAAACATCCCCAACACGGGCACACCCAACGAAAAACCCAAAGGAGATGCCAACTCCACTCGATTCAAACTTGAACCCTCGGCCCTCCACAACGCATGTCCTATGTTTAAGGCCCTCAAAGGGAGCTCCCAATGCTTGCAGAGTCTGGTGACATTATTTTGCCACTATCACAGTCACCCCCTAAGTTCCCAAGCGGTATAGGTCGAAGGGAAACCTCTTCTGACTGTGACCTCACGTCTTGGGTCTCTCGACTTGGTCGGGATTCTCCCAATTCCCGCGCGGCCTGGGTCTGAGCCTCCAGTCGCGACAGCGCATTGGCCTCAGCGAATCTCCGACTGGGAGAATCGATGGCCACCAGTTGGGATTGGTGATGAAAGCCTTGCCTAGGGGGGTTCATCCAACTAGTGCGAAGTGGACTTTGTCTATCAGTATGGTGCAGGGTCTATTTTGCAACCAGCGCCCTGGGCTGCAACATGTACAAAGTTTTCAGGGCACCCGGGGGGGGGGGGGGGGGGGGGCGTTTGGGTTTTTCCCGCTTCATTTGAGGTGACCTCACCTCCACTAGTCTGGCTTGAATGATGCTGTTTGCTTGGGCCTTGATGTTGATTTGAAGTTGTTTCTCTTGAGTCTAAAATGTTTTCGTACTACACCCAAAGCATTACCTTTACAAATTCCATGCAATATGCTGTATATCTAGTGTATGTCAAAATTGCTAGCTGTCATGGGCACAGCATCACTTCAAAGATCCCCCATAAACAAGTGGCAACCTGCAGGAACTCTTCAAAGTAACCGAACTCTTCCAAGTAACCGATACAGAAAGTGGCAACCTACATAAACTCTTCAAAGTGACCGACAAAGAAATGGTCAACCTACAAAAGCTCACAAGTTTCCCAACCCCTATGGGTTTCCTTTCTGGAAAGCAATGGCCGCAAAGCCAACACCGAGCAATGGGCCGAACAACCGGTGGCCTCCCCCTGGCCAAGTGAACGCCTGAACGCCCCCGCGCCCCCGCGGCTCCCGGCGGGCCAAGTCCGCGCGGTGAGCTCAGGCCGGCAGCGCAGCAGCCGCTGGGCAGCGCCCAGAAACGCCTCCTGGGCGCTACGCGCCCCGCCCGACGCGCAAAGGTTTCGGGGGCTGGCGCTGGGGTGGAAGGGAGGGGGACCTCTCTCCCCAAGGTTTGGTCATTGCTTGCTAGTCCCAAATTGGACAAGGGAGAAAAGGGAAAGCAACATGGTACCGTGTGATGGTGAAAGTGACCCCGTTGGCCGCGACTGGTTACAAGTCAGTCGGTTGGTGCTGGTGGAAATTCGGGGGAGGGCTCAAAAGTGACCTTGAGAAGATTTTAATACCCCGGTCGCAGCCTGACCCAAAAGTAGAATAGTGAAGCACTTCTTTGGATTGACTCCATTCGAGGGGAAGCCACCGCGTCCCATATTGAGGTGCATGTATATATATATATATATATTAGACCAAACTGTGGCCTCTTTATTTTGCAATATGTGTTTTTCCTTGGCAGGGGGGGTTTGGCAATGGGAAATGGTTGCGTAACAAACCATGTAAATAAACTTGTTCAGCCATGCACCAGCTCAGGTTCCACCATCCCCTTGAAAAGGGAGTCATTGGGGAAGACGGGCGCCAGTTTAACACTTGCTATTTTGAGGGAGGATTGGTTGCAACCCGCAACATTAAGACAATGAAGAGATGATTCCTTTCATATTCTGCCGCAGGTTAGGCTGTGTAGTTGCAAATTGTCAGGACGCGGGCTCGTGGTTTCAGTCTTTCACTTCAGTGTGTTGTGGCAGGCAGCGACGTTGCACGCTCACAGGAGCCTTCAGGCTTACAGGAGTGCAGAAGTTGACACGCGCGGCACGCAATGCGTCGCTCCTTTGCAATGGCCGATTTTGATGTGCCTTGGCCATGCATTTGCCAAGAGAAGGCATGTTGAAAACGGCAACACGGGGCATGCTCAGCTGCATCAGCTTGGGCTTTCTCTTTTGGAGTTGCCAGGTAAGGATTTTGCAAGCAGGGCCTTTTTTGGCACATCCCGGCACGAAACGAATCCCAAATTATTTCTTTGGACGCCGAGTGTCTCTGTCTCCGTTCTCCTTGCACGCTTTGCTTTGACAAGCAGCAGTGGCTTGAAATATTTGGCGCAGCATGGCTGTGCCCCACTCACCCTCGAGATTGGTTTCACTAGGTCTCGGCACTTGGTTGAAGATACATTTTTCAGGTTTGCCGCAGTTATTCGCAATTGGCAACGCTTCCCCCAAGGGTTCACCCCCTCTCAGACATGTTCTGTTTGATCGGACGGTGGTCCTTTTTATTGACAGGCCATTGCAGCCTTGAAGGTTTTCGTGATGTGTGCCCTTAGCCGCCCCAGCATGTATGAGGAAAACCGTATGCGCTTTCCAGCTCAAACTCTCTGAGGGTTTTCTTGTCTTCGCGCCTTTACCATTTGCGCCGGACCGGCGGAAACACCCCCATCACCCCCAGCATCACCAGCAGCACCCCCAGCATCACCACCACAACTTTGGCGCCATCCTCAGCGAAATCTGGCACCCTCGCTCAGGGTGCCCCTCAGCCTTTTCCCTGGCGGCAAAACCCCACCCCCGTCCCCCCCCCTTCCCCGCAAAGGAAAAACAGGAAGGCAGTTTGCCGCTCTGTTTTACCAAGCCCCTGATCCTCCCACCCACCGTGATGCTGGCAAGCCCCCCATAAAAATGAGAGTGTTCCACAGAATGAGCCAAAGACTTTGCAGACCTGGCTGTGTGCAAGCGCAGCTTTGCAAGTACACTGCGGAGTGTCGCGCTGCAACATGCTGCCCGCAAGTTGCGTGCAAGTTGCTCCATGCAAGTTGCTCTGCGCAGTGGCTCTGCCAAGTTCTCTGTGCAGGTAGCCGCGCAAGCTTGCGCGTAGGCTTCTGCGAGTGCTCTGCGCAAGTCGCTATACGCAAGTTGCAGCAACGTGTCTACATTCCGCAGATCGCGCCAGCGTTGCCAATGTCCACTGCAGCAACTTTGTTGCGCCGTGCCGGCGCAAAGAAACACAGAGTTTAACCCACTTGTGTCAGCGCACCTTTGACGCGCCGAGTTTACGCCGGCCCGGCGCAAGCAGGCAGCCAAAGACCTGTGCGCAAGTGTCCGCCTTGTGTCTGTGTTGTGTGTGAGAGGTGTCTGTTTTGCGCCGTCCCGGCGCAAGGTAGTCTGGGGCAGCCCGCGGTTGTTTGGGCAAAACTGACCCCGTTTCATTTGGACCACCAATTGCCAACGAGACCATAATAGGCTTGCCAACAGCTGAAAGCTTTGGGGTCTCAGCCCAGATAGGCTCCGGGGTGTTCCACGACCGTTCCAGCAGGGGTTCTACGAGGTTCTGCAAGTGCTGCTGTTGGGGATTTCCCCTGGACTTTTTTCTTCTATAAAGGGCAGAAGGGGGCTTGTGTGTCGGTTTAGGACTTTTTGATAAACACACGGCACGGAGCGGATTTTGTGTGTAAGACTAGGAAGCTTTACGCATGCAAAACATGCAGTTTCCCTGGCAAAGACCGCTGCCACTGCTTCATTAAGGCCATGTTGACCTCGCGCAAGCGGAGCTTCGTTGATTTGCCTGTAACGGGCAGCGACAGCTCGGAGGCGGACAGCTGCAGTGAGTGCTCAGCTTCTGCGGACATCAGCTCCAGCCCGGCTCTTTGGCTTGCGTTTTGCGAGGCGTTCACCTTTCTCATTGTTGCCAGAGCTGCAGAGTTTGCTGGGCCTAGGAAAGGTCTGGCAAGGATGAGTTCACCTTATTTTCAAGAAATTGGCTACCCTTGCAGCTTGGCGGGAGGTTGCAAGATGCTAGCCCACACCCCAACCCAGAGCTGCCTCTCATCAGGTACTGCTCCCGCGCAGGCTTGGAGGCAGAGAACTTCAAGTATGTCACTGCCCCGCTTCCCATCAGCAAGTGCTGGCCTGTCCCTTTGTTCGCTCGGCTGTCTGGATGTTAAACGCGCGCTTGCTGCTTCAGGCTCCGGGTTTGGGGAGCGTGCGAGGGCGCTGGCACCACTGCCTACGTTGTGCGCCTTGGCTTTTGCGTGAAGTGCAAGCGGACGTTATTTTTGAGTGGGGCGCCCCACACAGTAAGGCAGCACATTGCCGCTCACCTCGGTGTCAAAACGCGCTTGCTCTTCAGCAGCGAATGCTGCCCGAAGGCGAGGGAGTGGTCCCTGCGCCATGGGGAATGCGTCTTGGATAGAATGTGCGCACCCTCTGCGGTTTACACACACTTGGAGAGAGGGGGAAGGGGCGGTGCCTCGCTGTGAGGGGAACACTTCTTCACTGATGTGGACGACGACCAGACGGGTGGCTTTTGCTGTGTTTGTGAGCGTCACCACAAGGTGTCGCCCCTGATGGCGCCTCGGCAGCTCTTGGGCCATTTTTGAGCCGACCCCCATTTGTTTTAGACTTGTGACGCTGTGACACATTGCATCGTTGTGGGCTTCTCATGGAGCACTGAGGACTCAACCGATTTGGCGGTTATTGGGGTCCCATGTCCGCTTTTTTCTGTGATCAACTCCAAAAAGAGGATGGACGGGTATAACCCGTTTGAAGAGAGACTTGTCGGCATCAGAATCCTGCAAGAGTTTCCAGACCAACTCGTTGGTTCTTGAAGAAGCAGTCCGAACTGCTAGCGCTTGGCAAATTGCTTTTTCTGTCTGATGCGCGAGATGTGCAACATGAGGCCAGCCAGCCGGGTTACTCGAAGCTGTCTTCGTAAGCTGCGGCGGCGCAATCCAAAAACGTTCGTGGTGGAGGAAGTGCTTTGGCTTAACTTTTCCGGGCGTGTTAGCATGTTGTTCTGGTGGGCCAAACGTCCCGGGCCTCACACGGCAAGGATTGAAGGCAGTTTTCGTCGAAAAGGTTCAGCGGCTCCCCACAAAAACTCGTTCTGACTTTTTCGGAGGTCTCGTTTGACTTTCTTAGATGCCAGGCGGGCGCCGGACGTTTACGCCAAAACTTTGGAGTGGAGCTATGTTTTGATTTTTGCTTGTTGGCGATTTGTTTGCTCACAGCATTTGGCTGTGTGCAAAGTGCATGTTTTGGCTTCGGATTGCGGTTGGAGTTTGCGCAGACGGACGTTGGAGCTGGGTGGGGGGTTCGTTGCTGCATTCGGTTCATGGTCAGGTCTGCGGGATTCTTCAGAAGTTCAAGACGCCGCTGAAAGGGCGCTGGAGCAGATACCAGGCGTGGCGGCAGCGTGTCGTGCAGGGATCAGAAGGGCTAAGCAGAGTCAGTTTTGTTTGACACGGAACACTTCCGATGTGAGAAGCGCGGCAGTCCAGAGGCTTAAGGTAGCGCATGTCTTGGCGTAGCCCGTAGCACAGTTTGGAGCACCGGGGTCAGCTTGAATCGGCGCTAGTAACTTGACAAAACTACACTCCAGCGGACTTCTGGCTTGCAACTAGCCTTGCTCTAGTCTAGCCTGCTCATTGTTGTTGGCCATGGCCGCAAAGTGCGCGCGGCTGAAAAAGGCTTCAGTGGCCAAGTCGCAGACCGGCAAGAAACAAAGGCGTCAGGGCCGAACCCAACATTCGACGCTGCTACCAGCCCAAGTACGGGCCAACAAGAAGGCTCGGCGCAGGAAGCTGCAAAGGATATACGAGCAGAGGAGACGTGAAAAGGCTAAGAAAGCCCTTGCTTTTGCAAATCTGACCCAGCCCTTTGCCAGCTTGAAGACAGCGACTTTGGGCCAAGACTGTCAGACATTGGCAATGCCTCGCCCACATCCACCTCCGCAAGCCAGGTGCAGGTTGACATTTAAGCAGCCAGCAGCTATGTTTGAGGTGCCTCCCAAGCACAAGGAAATTCAAACTGAACCTCGGGCGCTTGCAGAGAAGGCTACGCAGACTGACCACCTTCACCCCTTCAGCTACGAGGCGCACCTTGACCTGACGCACAAGAACTTCGCCTTGAAGCGCGAAGCCCAGACTCTGCGGCAGGAGCTGCGGAGCTGCCAGACAATGCTTCGAGCAGCGACTTGGCAATTGCAGGTGCAGTCATTGACAAGTTCCGGCACTTGAGCGCACCCAGCCAGCGACAAATCGCAAGCTGAGGGT